TTTTACAGAAAGCCTATCATTTGTATATTCTATTACTTACTGACTGGTGAGTAGATAATCAATTCAATTCAAAATAAATACATAAAATACAAGAAAATGATAACAAACTCATTGATTCATTCACTTCATTAATTTACAAGTTTATTTTGTTAGAATTTGTAAATAAATACAAAAAGATCCTCCAAACCACAAACTGACCTGTCTCACAAGGCTCTATTAAATAGAGTCTATTTGAATATAATTCTTTATTCTCACGTCAGTATAACTATAGTCTGGTTTCGTGAATATATTGTCAAATAATGACATTATAAATCTATACCTTAAATCTATTTAAAATAATTTAATGCATGAAGATATTAACATTTGAATTTGGTCTAGAATTTGGTATTTATTTGATTTATCAAAAACTAAAAAGATTTTTTCAATCTAAAATTATTCTAAGAGTATTTAATATAAAATTCTATTAAGACAAGTCAAATTAAATTAGAAATTATTGATTATTAAAAGAATATTGTCTCATAATTTTATTGTATTAATAAATACAATCAATATGCAATAATAATTAAAATATTACATATTAGAGCACTGTATTATAAACAATATATTTCATATATTTTAAATAATATTTACAGATGTAATGTTCTTATTCAATATATTTGTCGACATATCTTACTAATCATTCTTACAATAATCTCTGGATTTACATTTAGGTTCATATATTATTTGTTCAATATTATTCACATTCTTTATTCTTGACGATTTTATAGAATCAACATTACAAAGTACACAGTATTTATACAAATTATATAATGGTGTTAACATTGTATTGAATAAATCCTACTGTGTATGACATAATACATAATGTTTGGCTTCACTCCAATAGAGGGGTTGACTCCTGTGCTGATGAATTTGAATTGGATCTGATATTAGGGATATTGTGAGTTAATAAATATTTTCTATATATTATACAATTTAGTAATAATAATGAGAGCCATAAGGTTGTCAATGTGGATGAGATTAGTGGCGGCCAATAGTTGTCTTCAATTGCATTTTGTTGGTTTAGTAGAGAAAATGCTATTCAATGTTCAAATGTTCTATTAATACATTCATTACTAATTTTAGCATTTTATATGTAGTTCATAATTTCAATGATTTACATACAATTTATTTTATGATAAAAAATATTGAATTATAATAAGCAAACATGTGATAAATCATAAATTAGTGAATGAGGTGGGTGAGAGAGAAAGGGAGAGAGAGAGAGAGAGAGACTTACAATTATTATAAATGATAGCAAAAGCCAAATAATATGCGCTGACAATAATCGTGCCAAACAGAAGGTATGCGGCGATAATCATGAGTTTGGATATCTGTTCAGGGTCGTATTTGTCGTGAATTTGTTTCAATAAGAATGTCTTTTGCAGTACAAACACTTGTAGAGCACAAAAGCCTTTAATATAAAAACAATTAATTTTCAAACGTTTTTACATCCAAACAAAAATCTATATTTTTAATATTACATAATAATGAAATAATAAAATATTTTATAAACTTTATTAACATTATTTACCTTATAATTTAAGTTAATTTACAAAAATACTATTAAGTGAATATTTATAGACTATTTGATACACAAATCTGTAAATTGCATTGCTTAGTATACAGTATAAATATTAAAATCAAATTGTATCAAACTCAAATTTTAGCGTGTATTCAAAGATTCGGATTAGAGTCTCGGTTCAAATCTGAAATGAATCCATAACTCTTAGATTCATAACTTTAGACATTACACTTTGTACATTACAATTTCATAAAGTGCATGCATTTAAAAATAATGTACTTGGTTAAATATAAATAATTAGAATACCGTATACACATTTTATTTCTTAACAATATATTTGACTACTTTATTTGAAATTAATTCACAATATATTCTTAAAAATATATTTACTTTTTCTAAATACACTGGTACAGTCAATAAAGATTATCACTAATTATTGAACTATGAATATATGAGAGAGAAATGGATATACAGTACAGTATTGTACAACTATTATATGTGTTGATTACCTGAGAACCAACCCCACAGTATTGTGTGGTAGTTGTATGTAAAGAGACCGAGAATACAGAGTGCAAAGCCACTGACTGTACCCAAACCGGTCAGCATGTATTCCGTGACAATCCGACACTCACACGGAGCCATACCTTTCATGAAATTATTCAATTCATAATAATAAAAGACCACGATTATTTTATTTTTATTAACTTGATGCTAATTCAAAATTGCATTTATACATTTTATTTATCAAATTTTTCACTTTAAAAATTTATTATAGTAATTAATTGTAAAGCACACAGATTATTAAACATTTAAATTAAAATTATAAAGTTAAACATTAAATAATGTAAAATCTATTTAACTTGATGACACCTGTATAGTTTGACTATTAGAAGTAATCAATAAATTTATTTGTTATTTAAGAAATTGGGTTGTTTTGCCACATAATATATTAAACAAAATGCAATGTATAAGGATTTAAAGTGAACCGTTAGATAAAATGACCTTTTCTTACATGGCTTTTCCTATTTATTACATCAAAACAAGATTTACAGTACAGACGAAAGTTATAACCGGTTTTTAAAATATTGTCTAAAGTAGAGATACACTTGAATTTCTAGAAAATATACAAACAATGTCTTCATTTCGATGAATCGGTAAACTTTTTTTTATAATTCATAGAATTAAATCATATATAATGTTATCATTTGAATAAATTGAAAGGTATTTTTATCAAAGGGTTGACACCATTACCTAATTTAAAATTTAACATGTAAACATATAACACAATTTAATTATTGTGCATAATTTTATTTAAATAAACTTTATTATAATTGACAAATTTCTATTAGAAAAATGCAATTATCCTACATATTTTTATTTATTTATTTAAAAGTAATGTATTTAATAAATAACTAAGTAAAATCTAATTCTTATAAATTAAAAAGATTATGTATTTTTAGTAAACATTTAATTAATATTACCGGTATTAGCTCTAAAACAATTTACCGGTAGTTGAATTTTAAAAGTTTAGTTTAATATATAACGTATACGTAGCATATTAATACTTATACCGTACTAGTTATTTATAAAAATATTTTAATCTCTTTTCATATGAGATAAAAATTTCGAGATATTTATGGGCTTCAAATCAAATGTCATTCAATACGTCGCATAAGTGTTAAGAAAACAATTGATAACTCACTTTTCATAATGAAGTAAATTTTTATAAACATTAACACAATAATTATATGTGATTTTAAATAAGCAAAGGTAATAAACAATTTTAAATATTTAAAATCACTACAATATTTGTAATTATTAAAGTTATTAACAAAACATAAATGAATGTGTAGTGAAACAAATAAATAATAAGATGAAGATAATTAAGAATATTAGTGACAAACCATTTGATTCATTAGTTATTGTGTTCAGTGTTTTAGGTTTTATTACAAGTTTTGTATATTTTATATTTTCGGCAATTTATGCTAATTTCCATTGTCTTCCTTTCGCTATATTTTCAGGTAATACAGTATTATTATTTAATTTTGTTTTTGGTTTAAATTATAATTCTTCAAAAATTAATTAATTTCTCTTAATATGTATTACAAATTATCAATAATTGAAATTTATATCTAATTTCAACATTTTTATTGTAGTATTGCTATCATTGTTGGTCTCATTTATATACATTCTTTCATTCCTCAATATAATCGATGAAAATATAAATAAAACTCATTTAACAATCATTACAATCATAGCATCGTTTCTATTGGTTTTAATTATATTTTTCTTAATCGCATACTCTTCGTTAGCCATCAGATATATCAAAGGTATGATTGCATTATTAATTTACTTACTAATACAGTACTATACAATATAATATTGCACATTGCACATTGATATTGATAAAACTTAATAATTTAAAAAGATTAATGTATATATTTTTTTAAATCATATTTATATACTAAATTGTTTTAATTGAGAAAATTATGTTATTATTTTTATAAATGGCATTAATACCTGCATTTGTTGTGATTATATAGTGTATGGATTTAGACCCGTCAGCACCACATCACTAGACAATACTTCATCGACCGAAAGAGATAATTACTGGCCGGTTGTCACGTGTTTGACACTCATTCTCCTGTGGCTGATATTACTCATTGATATTTCCCGAAAACAATGTTTCAAATTACCAAAAAATAATAGAGAGAGTAAATCCATAGTCGATAGAAATCCATCAATTGTTAGTCATTTTATTTATTTTATATCATTGAAAATAATGTATGCAATTTAATTTGAAAAAATGATTAATTGAGTGCTTTATTTATTTAGTGGTCAATTGGGGATTAGATCCTTTGGAAATGAATGGCATGTTTTATTTGATTATTTTTATTAATTAATTAAATTTTGTTTAATTTTTTAAATTTAATAATATTTTTAATGTCTAAAAGGATTTTGGAAATAAGTAATATGAAAATAGATTTAAAGTTATTAAATTTGATAACAGGACTTGATTGAATTTGATCTTTATATTTTCAATGAGTCAGTGTATTATGAAATAGACTATAAAAGTACATTATATAAATTAATTATACAATTAAATAAATTGTTGCAGTATAAGCTATCAAATTCAAGATCACAATTATTGTCGTCATAACTATTTTGTTATTAATTATAATTAAAATGTGTTTTTGTTTTAATATTTATATAGGCTATAGTTATTTATATAAAATTTGAGTCCCACCCTGGACATTTTGATGCATTATAAAGTTAAATAATTATTAATGATAATTATAGAGACGCATATTTATATATTGTTATACAGTATACATTTTATAATCAATTCATTCTTTCAAAAACAGTAATTAATAATTATTTTATGATATATTGGATTCACGTAATTCTAATACAAAAGTTATTTAAAATAAATGAAACCAATTAATCAATTGTTTGCCAAATGTGCGATACATTTGAGAATATATGGTATAAAAGGAGTGGAAATTAAAGCAAAGAATTCATTTCACTTTTGAACTCAAGTTTTCATTCAAAAGAAGAAAAACTTATCAAAACTGACAAAATGATGAAAATCGCAGTCTTGTTGTTAGTGGCGGCGTATGTATCGGCCGCACCTTCTCCATCCTTCACCTGTAAGTATTTAGCAGTCGTTTAATATTCACTCAATATTAGAGACACTTATTTGAATGAATGTTTTGATTGTATGATTGTTTGCATTACAGTTGGAAGCAGTGTCAGCGCAAACGGGAGTCCCGCAGGTGTGGGCGCCTCAGTCAACACCAACGCTGACTTAGGGATCGGAAGTATGTTCCAGGGTTTGGCTGGTTTAGGTCAGGGCTTTACCAACGCTATGACCAATGGTTTACAAACTGTCGCCGATGTCGGACATAACATTGGGGGACAGGTTCAGGGCGTAGTCGGACAGATCCAGACGGGTATTACCGGCGCTATTACTGCGGGTCAGAAACAGTTTCAGAACATCCTTGGTAACCTGAGCGGAGAGTTCAACACTTTGAAGGATCAGTTGGAAAGCATGGTGGCACAGGGACAACAACTACCTCAACAGTTCATCACTGAATTCCAAACAATGACGACCCAATTGAAGGACCAGTTCGAGAACGTCATGAAAAGGTTGACCCAAAACTTCAGTGGTCTCAGTGGAAAGTTGGAGGACACTCTGAAGGGAGGCGCTGCTGAGATCCAGACTAACTTGCAACCGGCTATTAGCAATCTATTGGCCGGCGCTAAAAAGATTAACACTTTGGTCGCCAATAAGCTGGCGTCAGGTAAGCAAAAGTTGGCTGACATCCAGAAGCAGTTGCAATCCCTGGCCTCACAGGGCAGCGCTCAGGCACAGGAACTCATGCAACACCTGCAGAAAGAGGGCGCATGCATCGCCACGAGTGTCACCGACAACCTGAACAAAGCTAAGCAACTGTTGGAACAGAACGTCGCGACTATCGAAAAGCAGATCGAGAATGCCGGCGATACACTCACTCCACAATTGGAAGACGCAAAGCAGCAGCTCAACCAACAGATCCAACAAATCAACGCACAGATCGAGAATGTGGCCGCAAGTGTGCAAGGTCAACTTGAGACCTCTTTGGCTGGTCTGAAGCAGCAACTGAAGGGCAAGATTGCCGACGTCACCACATTGATCGATGAGGCCAAGACTGCCGGTGACGATAAGCTCCAGGAGTTGACGACTCAATTGAACGGAAAGTTAGCCGAAGCACAAAAGGCCGGTCAAGATTTGGCCGCAAAGTTGAAGACAGATGTGACTAAGAAATTGTCGGATTTGAAGACCGCTGGCCAACAGGGGGCACAACAATTTGAGAACGCAATCGAGGCACAGGCCGCTCAACTCAACAGCCAAGTTACAGGTCTCGTCAAACAGATTGAGGACGTGAAGACAGAGTTGCCGGCTGTTGCGACACAACTGCAGTCACAACTGAAACAAACTCTTTCATCGGCCAAAACAACTCTCACCAATCAGTTGACTGACATTACTAACCAACTGAAGACGGCCAGCGGACAGGTGAAGACAGCCCTCCAACAGGCTAAGGCTAAACTGGAGGCTGAGTTGCAGAACATTCTGGACCAGGCTCAAAATGCCAGTGTTAACATTGATGTCAATGCCGGAACCGATTCAGGCGCTCATGTGGGCGTACAGGTGGGAACTGGCAGTGGAAGCGGTAGTGCCACCATTGGCGTCAAGACCCTCTAAAACATTTTAAATATGCTTTTTATGTTTTCTTTCT